ACTGCCACTGCTACTGCTACAGGCTAATTGGGGAATGGCATTGTCCACCCTGAGTTTATCATTTTTTAACGTTCTTTAACATTTAACCCTGTTCGGACTTGGGACGCGAGAAAAGGCGCTTAAAGTGTTCCCTTGAACTTTCGCGCTAAAACTTTCTCAATTTGAAGAGCATTTTAAATGTAATAAACAAAGTGCGTGACTCTTCTTCTGGATCGATTTAATGTCGATTAGTAAAACGTTTTACCGAAATGCAAACATCCAAGCGTAATACAAATAAATAACAAGCTATTCAGAACTTTGCCGCTCGTATTCTGACCAGCACGAGTAAATACGATCATATTTCGCCGCCTTTAAAAGAGCTAAATTGGTTGCTAGTGGCAACCCAGCTTTATTTACGTACTGCTATCATAGTCTTTGACTGCCGAACAAGCTCTCTCATCCTGATTCATCAGGAGAGGAGGAGAAGTAACCGTGCGTACCACCATAAATTCAGCTGAACATTCCACTTTTCAAGTCAGTTAGCGGTCAGAGGACGTTTTATTGTAAAAAAAAAAAAAGGCATTATTTGGAACTCGCTGGGCCGTTTCTTTAAAGTTATTAATTCATAATGGCTGCAGCCACATCTGGCTACTAACTATAGTTAAGACGGGGATAACTATAGTTACCTATTTCGGGAATGTGACCGCTTCTCTGTTCGCTCTAACTGTAGTTAGAAAATTTACGCCTCGGTGATCCAAAACAATACAGACTAACTACAGTTATACCCAAGCAGGGTTCATGGGTTAGTCAACCAATCAGAATGTGACAATTCTTTTCGTACGTGCGAGATGAGCATATATAAATATGCAAAATAAAAACCAAGCGTGAAGCGAGGAGAAAACCAAAAACAGCAAACAAAAATTTTACACACAACAAGGTAGCAACACGTGTAGCCTTGAAGCTTTTGTGCCGTCCTTGTATTTGCTGGGATGAATTCCAGACCTTCCTCGCAGGATTCTTTTCCTGAAACTACGAGCATCCGTTAAAATTCTCAGCTTATTTCTCATTTTTCTCCGACGGTTTGCCGCTCGAAAAAAGAAATGAGAAGAAAAACTAGACACACTTTACGTCAGTCAATTACGTTGACATTTCACTGATCAGCGATTAGGGCCGTCACGAACCTCTTTTAATTCTGACGTCATCCATAGGCTAATTAGAACTAACTGTAGTTAACTGCGTGGTGTGATCACAAAGTCGACCGAAAGCACTAACTACAGTTAGGTATGACGTCACGTAACTTAAGACTAACTTAAGTTAAACTTTAGTTRCGTCGTAGATGTGACCGCAGCCAATATTATAACAAATAGCTGCTAATTAATTACAACAATAAATTTTCCTTTTATTGCTGTGATTGACAGCGTCTATTTGTCATAATATTAAATTTTAGTAGGTATTGTCTTTGAAAAGCTCCTTTGGGGAAAGTCAATAAAGCATGCATGTAAATGCCGTTCAGTGGATTAAATCAAAAAAACGCAAAATAGGTCTTATGCATTATTACGTCACATTCTCCACCAAGCCTCGTTTGCGAGAAATTTTCTAAAATCTTTCTCACTTAAGTGTTGTTTTCACGAGGGTAACTTTTTTCATCCTTGTTGCTTTGGGAATTCACCTGCAATTTTCAAAGCTAGGCTTGGCGGTGTCGCCATAACTGTGAAATTTACGCTCTGCTTTCCAAGCGAAGTAAGCTATTGAGCTGAAGAATTATGTACGGACATAAATCCAGTACGTCTTATGCCTACATGGTGGCTTTTTAGTTTTGGATTTTAGAACATGATGAGGCCATGTAAAACGATTTATAATTCATCACAGAGCATTTTAACGTGATAAGTGTTTTGCCATACCAAAATATCATCATCTCATGTTGCTTCCATGTACCATTTATGTTTCAACACCATTGCTTGAATATTCTTGAAGTTACGGAGGGTGGTTGTATTTTACCCATAACAGGTCCTATAATTTCAAAACAAGCCATATAATAGAGAAGAATAGTTATGAAACCCGGAAAACGTCAGAAGAGCCAGCGAAAATTCCAAGATTTATGTTGAAACGCGAACGACCGAGCGAAATCTTTTGTTTCGCGCTCATACACTAGGCAGATTTACATAACCGACACGTTTCTACCGGTTTTTGCGAAAGGCAAAGACACAAATGCGTTTGATTTGACCCTCAGAACGTTTTTGCACGGTCAAGGCCAAAAAAAAAAGTTGAACCGTTATGGTCTGGAAAAGCATAAATTTTTAACTTGGTAAGCTGAAATTGGGAATTCTTTTCACTCAATCTGCTTGGTACTGGATGTTTTGTTTACAAGGAACTCTTTTCCCGCGTCAACATTGGGATTTTTGTTGCCCTTCTCAAATGTCTAGGCAATTGGAAGCCATTTTTGCTGAGCTGAAGTCAAATGTTAGAGTCATTTACTAATTTTAGAGGTCTGAAATAGGGAATAGAGTTTTTATTTTTTATTTTATTTTTTGTTTAGGTCTGAAATAAGGTATGGAAAGTCACAGAGTTTGGTTTGAAATAGTTTACAGAATTTAAGGTTCGGGCCGCAGAGCCCAACAACAACAACAA